GGTAAAAACAAAAGTATTGGCGGCCATTAAAGAAGATGAAGGTTTTCTAGGTTTCAAAGTAAGGTTGGTTTTTTGGGTTTGAGAGCAAGTGGCAATGAGATTTGAGAGTTTTGAAAACGTAAAAGTCTGAATGAAGGAAGTTGGGTATTTATAGGCATTTGGGGAAGAGGGTCAATGGTTTTTATGTTTAAAGAATAAAAAGTAGTTTCGACCATAGTGATTTGTAATCATGACCAATGTTCTAAAAAACAGTTGAGACGGCCACCTAAGCTGCGCCTAGGCGCTAGGCGGCAGTGCTCCACTGCGATTAACTCAAAATCGTTTCTTAAATAGGCAAGATATGTGCGGACCTTGGGCTATTTGGCGGCTAGAAAAGAGAGAGAGAGAGGGCGCCTTGAAAACAAGAAGGAGCTCGGAGAAGAAGCGAGAGAGAGGCTGCTGTGGAAATTTACAAAGCAATAAAAGAAGAGGAAATGGAAAAACAGAGTAATCGGAGAAGAAGAAGAAGAAGAAGAGGAAAAGGAAAAACATTCAAAATAGCTTTCCTCTTTCCAAGGAAGAAGAGGAAAAGAAAACCCAAAAAAAAAAAATAATGGACCCGCTTTCCAAGGTGTAAAAAAGGCTCCAGCTTTTGGAATCCTAAGCTGACGTGAGGAAGTAGGGTGTAGGTGAGATGTAAAACCTCACACGTTTTGATTTTTAAATGTTTATGAACTAGTTTTTTAAATATTTATTGTTTAAAAAATAAATACTAATTAATTAAAATATCTTGAATTATATTTTATTTCTCTGAATTTAATTAATTTACCTTACTAATCATTCAAAATGTCTTAAATTATATGGTATATTTGCTTAATGTAAAATTTTGAACTTGTTGGATACTATTTTTGTATTTTATCATTATTTTATTATTTTATCCATAGATTTCATATAAGTATAATTTTATGTGTTAATATGCACTTATTTACAAGATATACAAGAAATTTACCTAAATCCACCTAGGCGCTAAGCGCTAGCTCGCCGCCCGACTAGCACCTAGCGTTTTTTAGAACCTTGATCATGACGAATATTCAATAAATCCAGTGAAGAGGTCGAAGAACTCGCAAATCAAGGTTGCATGGTGGTGTGTGACGGCGAATTTAAGAGGGAATGGACGTTTTAGTGTTCGCATGTCTCGAAAAGACCGAAAAACTCGTGGGTTAAGGCTGCATGATGATGTGTGACAGTGAATTTAAAATTAAGGGGACGTTTCAGTGTCAAATGTCATCATTAAAGGACAAATATACCAAGAAGACACCACGTGGCATGGAGTTTGATAAGGGTGAGATCGTGTAGTCGTGCCTCATAAATACATTTAAGTGGTTGGGATATTCGAGGTTTCTTGGTGCCTTTTAATAATATGCTATGGGACGATTTCACTTATTCAAGGTCAGAGCTTAACCAAGATTCGCAGGCCGAAGACCTCAGAAGCGAGAGGGCAATGTTTGAGCCCAAAATAAAATTATTAGGCCGAGCCTAGGTGTTCTCGGCCCAATACTTTTCCAGAAGTATTATGGGCTGTCCAGCCGCCATAGGCCACCCAATCAAGTTAGCCGGGTCCTATTGTGATAATGATTGATTTGGATAAAGGCGAAGAGGTTGAATCCTGATACAACAATAGGTCTTAAAGCTGAAGGCGCTGAGAATTAGGAAATGAATCTGGTTTATCATAGAGCCTAGTTTAGGAAACTATTGGAACTAGGACTGGCCGAATCATAATCAGATTAGGATAATGAGTTCTAGTCTGAGTACATCTCTGGTTCAGCTAGGAGTAGGTTCACTGCTATAAATAGATGAGGGAGTGCATCATTCAAGGCCCTTCCAATTCAACACACAAATTGCCCTACGCAAACTCTCATTCTACACGAAACCTCTCAACAACCTTGAGATTTTTATTTTCTTTTTCTCGCCGACACATCTTCAGTTTGGATAAACAGCACTGTGAAGGCAACCAGTGACATCTTCAGTTTGAATAAACAGCATTGGAGCCGTAGAATCAGCTGATCAAGGAGCACCTTCAGTTTGGATAAACAGCACTGCTTCTCGGCCGATTGATTACCTATCCAAGTTTCAGTCAACAAGGATTTTCAAGTCCTTGTTGGTAGAGGTCATCTCATTAGCCTTCTCGACGAAGTGAGGTGTTACCAGGTTACTACATTCGGCACATTGAAATCCAAATCTGATATTGAACTTCGCAAAACTAGCAGCCTTGTCTTCAGGCTCTAGAACCCGAAGGCTGAGACGTATTTCTTCCTCGGCTGCAGTTGTAAGATCAAGAAGTCAGCAGCGCGCTCAACGCGACATCAACACATTTTACTCCCGGGCCGAGCTCGACCGACGAGTTGGCACGCCCCGCACACAACCGAAGGACGTAGTTAGCTTATTAATTACTCGGCATGCATGTCACGTAGGTTTGGTAGTTTTTAGGGTCAACAGTCACACAGTGTACTTCGTCGGGTAACGTTTTCATGCCAAGAAAAACATTTGGCTTGTATTATGGCATTCTTTGCACAACAAACTATTAGGGTTTCGTAGTGCAAAAGTGTATTTTAGGGTTTATATTTTGTGGGGCAAACTACGACATTTCGTCGAGTAAAGGTGAGGGACATTATTGGCAATATTTAATTCCTTCGATGATTTTCATTGTCTGCAAAACTAATTTCAACAATCCAATCAACAAACTTGTTTGTCTATACTCCAAGATTGCATACACCAAAAGTCACACAGAAAAACTAGGGGATTACGTAGTGGGATGGAATCCTTTGAAGGTTACAAACAAAAAATCACAATTTAACGGTTATTTTAGCTCTGATTTTGATGATTTTTTAAACTACACTCCTCGACCCTTGAAGAATACACTAGTGAATATCACAAAATCTAATGTTCTACTTAATGGAAGTATAGGATAAGCTCTACCTGTTTGTTGAATCAATTGTTTTAACTGGATATGCATTCTACGAAACTAGTTTCAACAATCAACCGTCAAACTTGTTTGTATATATACTCCAATATCGCATACGCCAAAAATCATCAAAAACAAACTTTCGGGGATTAAGTAATGGGACAAAATTCTTTGACGTTTACAAACATATCACCATGATTTAACAGCTATAAGACCCTTGATTTTGATCTTTTTTTTTAAGGACAGTAATTGAGAGCTTGAGAGTAAAACTACATAGTGAATTGACCTGGTCATCAAATTCGATGAATTTTTAACCGGCGAATGCTTTTATTTCATCAGGCAAACATCTGAGCGACGAATTTTACCTAAAAAAAACTTGTTGAGCGAAATTGGAGATGACGAGGCGGTATTTGGTCTGACAAAATATTTTCGTATGGAAATTTTTTATTTTATTTTTTTTTTTTTGGGTAGTGAACATTGTTGTTTTGTGAAAATAATATAGTGGTATATGAGTTTTTATAGGGTAGTCAACAAAGTTATGATGGTGAGCAAAAATGTTCTCCTACTTTTTGGTGCGTGCATGCTAATTTTGTAAGACATAAAAATATCAAAATATTGAATTTCAATGTCTTGTTGAGTATTTTCCCTTCCCAAAAGAAGAAAAAAGAACATTTCATGTTGCATTACAACTTTTTATTTGGTTTTCGATTGTTTCACATATGTATGACATGTATCAAAACTATTCCTCCATGACCTAATTAATTAACACTTCCTCTATAGACTCTTTGTGTAAAGAAAAAGGCATGCAGGCAACAAGCTTTTGCTGCCCTAGCTTCACCACTCATCACCTACCCTATTACTACACTAATTTGAAGAGTTATCTGAATCTCTTTAATTAATTAGTTTTCAAATGTCTCATGCATAATTTGATCACCTCTTCCAGGTCCAGTCAAGTCGCATGCATGTTTCGTTTTCTCAAGGTATTATTTTGCTTTTTTTTTTCTTTTCTTTTTTTAATTCTTGTTTCTTTTCCTAGAAAGAGTATGTGCTTAGCCTTTGCTTTTTTTAGTGCGCCCATTTGACATTTTCTCAATTTTGATACCAAATAATCGAGGAAAGAATAAACACGAGTGTGCGTCCATTCGTCGTTTTGAAAGATCCGCACCTTGGACGACCCCACACGCTATCGTTTTCTATTTAGAATTTGAACACCATGCATGCTAATTATTAATTATACATGTCCCACTAATTAAGCACTCGATTTTGATTAAGCGTAAAGTTCCAATTTTTTTACATTTTTCAACAATAAAAGATTTTCTCTAAGATCCATGATTATGTTGCATGTATACATGGTAATGGAGATCATATACGTGCTAAGCTTGCCTAACCATAATTGTTAATTATAATATAATTTTGGTAAATAAGATCCCATAGAATTTTGGAAAGTTGGAGTATACAAACGCAGCAACGTTTGATAATTTCCCATGTAAAAACTGGAGGTCTTGGTTTCGAAACCTGCTGTTGGTGTGTGGAAGTCAGACTTGTGGCCAGAAAGAGGCTGAAATGCCTCTGTGAGTTTTCCCGGCCCCTGAAAGGGATGGATAACCATAGCTTGCCATCAGTTGTTCCCATTTTAAAAAAAAAAATTAATTAATTAAAAAAAATACCTAGATACTATGGTATATTGTTTTACTACTTTGGCTGGTTGACTTGCTTTTCAAGTCTTGCTAGGCGCTAGCTTTTTGTCGGTTCATGAGCATATGTGTTGGAAAATAATCATAATTGTTGTCAAGTTGAAAGGTGATTAGGGTCCGGTAATGACAATGGTTTGACAAATCAAATCTTATATATCATGTAGCAATCATGCATAAAACATAATTAAAGATTTTCACAAAGTCGGTAAAGAATAATCAAAGTTTGAACAAGAATAACTATTGGAATTAATTACTACGAAATCAACCATTCTGCAGAAATGAAATTATGCAAAAATCTAGAAGAACAAGAAAGAAGGAAACATACAAAAATGAAGATGAGAGAGAGAGAGAGAGAGAGAGAGAGAGAGAGAGAGAGAGAGAGAGAGGAAAAATAAAGAGAAAACTAAACTTATGTTATTATCTTAATCGTCGCGGTGAATTAAAAGGGGTTGTGGCAATGTCTGGTCCAAGTCTTGTCTGTTGTGGCAATCGAATTATATGCGTTGAAGTTGGGGTTAGAGTTGGCGATTGATGCAAACCACAATCGCCAACCTGCTTCCCCTGGTTGTCCAGTTGATTTTACAGGAAGATGATGTTGAGAGTTGTCCCACATTGGTGAGGGACAAGGTTTGCTATGTGCTTATATGATCTTGGTCTACTCCTCATATTGCCAATTGGTTTTATGGTGGAACCCCAATTTCATCAGATGAGTGTTTGACGGGGACAGGAAATTATGTGGAGGAGGTGCTGCAAATTATACATCCTTGTCATTAATTTGGTGTTGCATTCAATTCCAAGGGGTGTTAATGGAGTTGCTCATCAGGTTTACTGTTCGCAAGCAAGGGCTATCATTTAGATGGATGTGGGGCCACCGTGGCTAATGGATTGTATCAATAGTGAAATCGTAGTAGTTTGAGGTTTGATTCTTGGTTTATGTTGGCATGCCTGGCCCTTTTTTCATTTCTCGGAGTTTTTTCTAGGGGTTTTTGAACTTTAATCCCTCAAGAAGATTAAAATTTAAAAAAAACCTGGTGTTAGATTAAATATTGATTTTAGTTCTTAATGTGCCCTTAATTCAAAATAATTAATGTGCATTTTATTTAATGTCTTCCATTAAATATTTAAATTTATTAATACACAAATTTTAATTTATTTTTTGACCAAAAAAGAGTTTTTTAATTTATTAATTTTATTTAACATTCTTCAAACTTGAAAGACTCAATTAATGTACCTAAATGTTAGTACCGAAATATATTATATTGAACTAATATATTTAAATGTTAGTACCGAAATGTATGTACCTAAATATATGCACCGAAATGTATTAATATTAAATTAATGTACCTAAATGTATGTACCGAAATGTATGCACTGAAATGTTAGTACCGAAAATGTATTATATTGAATTAATGTACCTAAATGTTTGTATTGAAATGTATATACCGAAATATGTGTACCTAAATATATGCACCGAAATGTATTATAATGAATTTAATATACCTAAATGAAGAAGATAAAGTACATCAAAATATATTGTATAACAAAAATTAGTTTATTTAAATGTTCACAACAAAATATATCATGATGAATGAAATGAAAATAAAAATTATAATGAAATAAAATTAATACATTAAAAATTAGAAAGAAAAAGATAAATAATTAATAAATCAAAATATAATTAATAAATAAGGTTATTAATGTATCAAGGGACTAAAATTAGATTTTGATCTTACTCATGGTTTTAATAAAAAAATCATATTTGCCAAGGATTAAAATGAAGTTTTCTATTTTTTCTATGTGGTTTTATCTGGGGAGGTTTTTCCAGAGGTCTTTTCTTTGGGCGTGCCCCGTCATCTTCATGTACGTCTTGGATTGTATTTTATTTGGAATGAAATATATCTTTTCCCCTAAAAAAAAACAAACTATAGCTGACTTGGAAGCCTTGACACCTCATTACTGACTTATAAGTCAACATAAGTCAAAATTCCCCCCTCAATCTCAACTAGGGTAATTTAGCTTGAGATTGAAATAATGTCTTACAAATGTAGGACTATGGAGTATTTTTGTCAACACATCAGCAATTTGATCATCAGTAGATAGATATTTAATATGAAAATCTCCTTGGCGAACCCTTTCTCTCACAAAGTGAAAATCAATATCAAGATGTTTAATTCCTGAATGGTACACCGAATTGGCACTTAGTGCAATAGCTGACATTTAATCATAGTAAATGATGGGAAGACTTGAAAAAAAAAAAAAAAAAAACTCCAAATTTTTCAAAATTAACCTCACCCAAGCAACATTTATTGTAATTTTGTTTCTTGGATTGCCATGATATGGGATTGCTGCCAAAGTATACCACATAACAAATTATTGACCCTCTGGTATTCAAGTTTACAGCCTAATCTGTTTGGAAGAATCATCGTCAACTGTAGAACGTTGCTTTCGGTTTTTTCGCGGTCTACCTTGTTGGAGCTCTTCTCATCGAACTCTTTCTTGGAGTGTCCATGCTTCTTAGTAGAATCTGGTGCCTTTGTTGCTAGCTTCTCGTCGTTCCAAAGTGCGTCACATTCTGCTAAGTCAAAAGTCTCAACTAAGGTTTGCTAGAGGGTCATGGTAATATCTATGCGGAGTAGATGATCTACTGGCAATCATCACTTGAAAGTTTTCCACATGATTATTTCTTTGCAACTGACAATCTTGGCTTGAGTATTCCTTTGGGCAAATGAAGGTACGTTCCTTGAAACGTTTGATAGAATGTGGTTTCAAAGTGTGGAACCGATCCTGTGTTGCTCCCTACAAAGTCACGGCTAAGACTTTGCACATCATGGCTTCGTCCTACTTGTGAAATGTCAAAACACTCCGATAGTGCTTCAGGTGACGACGGGGGTCTGAATCTCTCTTGAATAGTGGAGAGAATCTCTGGGAAGGTCGTGCCTGCTTGATCTCGTATATGAATGATGAAACATTCACGATGTCTGCCTGCTTGCGAGCACGCCCTTCAAGTTTTCTTTTGGCTTGAAGTCTCTAAGTCACTCATCGTGTAACCATCGTAGTTTTTCGAATTAGATAGGTTGTCTTCCTGCAGGTGGCTTCGCTGCTCTACGATTCCGGGGGTGGTCTGGGTTCTACTTCCTGCAACTGCTAGACTGAAGAATTGGTGGAACCTGCTTCAGACAAATAATCATGCTGCTGCTGTCATCTTCCCAGATGGTGCGCTGATCTGATTCCTAGGGCACGCCCCCTAGAATTACTCATCATAATCTACGGTCTCCTTCCTTGTCTACTGGATGGTGTCCAAGCTCATGCCTCTGCTTCTGATAATGGGAACTATGTCGTTTGCAACTTCTTTTCCTGGCCTTCTGCAATGGTGATGCATGCTCAAATTCCCTTTGATTTGGCAAGCCAAGATCAAGATCTCTATCGAGATTATGATGAGTAAGAAGTTGAGTGTGCATCCTCGCATGATGATTGAGGTATGCAACCTGGAAAGAAAGAGTAATCATATAGGTAGATCAGTGGTTTTCTCTGGCGAGGGTCTGCTAACAGACGTATGATGCAATGCGGGTAGGGCCGCAAGAGGCTGCATTGATACGCCAAAAAAGCATATGGGAGCTAGGGCTTCTTAATCAATGGGCTTGGTTCGCGGGGTCTATTCGACTGAGATTGTCTGTGCGGGCTGGTACGGATCTGTCGGAATCAGCCAAGCCGGTGGTTGAGGCTGGGTAGGAACCTGTTTAACTGACAATGGTTGTTTGGCAGAGAGTGGCCGAACCTGCTGGGGCTGTGCCAGCGGCAACTGTTTCTGTGGCTCAGTGACTATAATAACGGCGTGCGGTACTGGCACGGCAATGGTTGCGGAAGCAACCATGGTGGCGATTTGGAGCCTCGACAAAGTTGCAGCAATCTTGTTCCACAGCTAAAATGGCTCTAATCCTCGAATAAAAGGTGCAGGGGTTGTGATCAACGAAAACTCTGGATTCACATTCTGATGCCTCAAAGTGGCAATCCCAGATTGCAAGGAGTGACCGTTTTTGTTTTTGCTCACTGATTTGACAAAATTCCACCTACAAGAGAATACACATTGTTAGCCTAATTGACGAACAAAAAGAAAAATGGGGAAGGGTGTCCACCAGAGCCCTCGATGCTTAAGTCAGAAACGTAATAAAGAGAAAAATAAAACTTGAGAGTGTTCTGAGTAATACGAGGCGATTAGTTTTTCTCTTATTGACTTGGTTATTTATAAGGAAGAAACCTTGACAAGCAGCTGCGAAAAGACGCTGTAAAGCATACTAGGCAGTTCTTGATGATGAGGCCAATCTCCGCAGTTCTACGAGCTAGTAGTCTTGAAGGTCCTTGTTGGTAAGAGCGCAAGTGCACCAGACATCCAAGGGGAGACTCTAGAAAGGCGTTGCCCTACCACAATTGGACTGGTATGGGCCAATGGAAAGATGTATTATGCGGCCCAAAAAGCCATAATATGTGTCATGGGAGACTCAAAGAACCCATGACCCACACTAGGCAACCTAGAGAGCCCATGACTTGCATCATGGGCAGCATGGAGAGCCCATGGTCCGTTAGTGGCATAAAAGCTAAATTACCTTAAGGCAAACAACGTCTTATTCCCTTAGGGTAATTTTGTGGTCTACTCACGACGTCGAAGGTAAAACTATCATATTGAGTATATAGTCCACATGTCCTTCTCTTATTAGATGTGATTATTTTATGTCTCCACAGTGAAGATACTTTATTTGCAAGGTGTTAGATATGTGCATTCCATCTAGGCCTTGCAATTCCTGACACGACCCGATAACCCGACACGACATGACACAAAATTAACAGGTGTTCGGGTCGACACGATAACGAATCGGGTCGTTATCGGGTAACCCGATAAGCACCTGTTAAGATAACAGGTTGGTTCGGGTATACACGTGGGTAACACGATACACGATAATTTTATAATTTTATAACCCTAAAAAAATACTATAATAATTATATATATATATATATATATATATATTAATTTAACAATTTTATACCCCTAAAAACTATAATATATACACATATATATATATATATTAAATTAAATATTAAAAATTGGTGACCATTGGATCGGCTTAAATATACATCTCATTCAATTTCTTAAGTGTTATATGTACAAAATAAATAAATTTAAATCTACTTGATAATATATACCATTAAACTTGATAAGATACGAATTCTACGAAACTAATTTCAATGATCCAACCGTCAAACTTGTTTGTATATGCTTTGAGATCGCATCAGCAAACAATCGCAAAAAACAAACATTCAGAAATCAAGTAACGGGACAAAACGTTTCGACGGTTATCATCGACAAATCACTATTTAACGGTTATTTTAACTCCAATTTTGATGATTTTTTACAGCTACACTCCTTGACCCTATATGAATACAATGAATGAATTCGATCGTCAATTTAAAATATTTACACTAGTGGATACCACAAAATCTTATATTATACTTAATGAAAGTATGAATTGACTCTTAAGTGTTAGTGAATATATATTTTTTTATGGGATGCGCATTCTACGAAATTAGTTTCAACGATCCAACCGTCAAACATGTTTGTATATAATTCAAGATTGCATATGCCAAAAATTGCAAAAAAACAAACATTCAAAGATCAAGTAACGAGACAAAATTTTTCGACGGTTATCAACGAAAAATCACAATTTAACGGTCATTTTAACTCCGATTTTGATGATTTTTTACAACTACACTCCTTGACCCTATTTGAATACAATGAATGAATTTGATCTTCAATTTAAAATATTTACACTAGTGGATACCACAAAATCTTATGTTATACATAATGAAAGTATATAAATAAACTCTAAGGGTCCGTTTGTTGCACCAGACTGTCTCGGACTGGACTAGCTTCAAAGACTAAGCTGGATTGGCTTAGACTAGATTAAGCTGGACTAACTTAGTGAAGCATTTGGTGTAGTACCAGATTAAGAAGCGGGATAATAAAAATAGTACTGT